TTCTGGGCTTATTTTAAACTGATTTTAAACTGATATGGTTTTGACCAGCCCCTTTAGGCAATCTGTTAATCAAGGTATCCCAATTTTACTGAAAAAAAGTTTTACTGATTGTAATTACCCTATGGTACAAAACCCTTCTTTTGAGTATTAGTAGAGTCACCTGTTCAATGTCATCCTAAAGTCTGGAGTATGTTGCAATCTCCAGATTAGCTTAGTGAAGTGGACTGGATTGTGGGTGGAAAGGTAATGGATACCCTAATACCTATATTTTTATATATGAATACCCATATGTGTGTGTGTGTGTGTGTGTGTGTGTGTGTGTGTGTGTGTGTGTGAATATTAACATAAAATATAATACTAATTAAGATCAACATGCATGACTGAGTGACATCAAGATAGGCAACACTACCAAGACCAGAGATGACGGTAAGATAAACCTCATTTTGAAGAGAAGCAAGTGTTCAATTCAGATTCAGAAAAAGATATTTTTGCATCTAAAATTTGACAAGTAATGACAGGTTGTTCATTAAAATATCTGTTTATAAATAGCAAATTAAACAGAAATTATTTTAATTTCAAATAAATAAAACAAGGTTTTTAGACCTATGACAAATTTACCCCATCAGAGGACATGACTCATGTAAATAGCCTCATACGTTTAAACTGTGTTAAATGAAATATATAATATTAGTTAATTATAGCATCATCACTGGTTTAAGTGACTTCCACACGCTATTTGTGATGGAACCAGGAACAGAACTGAGACCTCCTAGACAACACTCGACTGTCCTAAATGCACCCATTCTCTTGCTGCACCCCTCTGCCTTCCTAAGAGTGAATGTGCCAGAAATCCTACACGTAGCATCCTTGTTCATCACACCCTGCCGGTTCATTCCCTGACCATTGTCTATTCTACGTGCAACAGATAACAGCATGGGATCCTGCATTTTTTAAACTGTGGAAGAAATACCAGCCCACTAAAGTCAAGGGGGCTTTGCCATTGACTTCAGCAGGCCCAGGATTTCACTGCCCACCTTAATGCAAGTGCACAGAACATGACGGTCTCGCAGTTAGCTGGGGATTTTGCTGCTGGCTGAAATAGGAGGAAGTGAGACTGAGAACTTGGAATTGATCTATTTACATTTTTTCACTGGATGCTTGTTTCCTGCAGGAACCTATTTGCTAATTCAAAAATCGGTCTGACAAAATCTTTTCTGCGAGCAGAATGCTATGCTCATTTGTGCGTGTTTCTCTCTTTATTAGAGTTGACTTGAGATCTCACGGCCCTGTGGCAGAAAAGGAAACAATGCCTGGCTTGCAAAATGAAGCCCTACTCCAAGGAGCACAGCATCTTAAGATGCATTTATGTTATTTATATTCTCTAATATCAGAAGTCGGTAATTACCTCCGTGAAGACTCATTCCAAGCATTGCTTTATCACAGTCACTTTTGGGGGATGGATATATAAACTAATTGTAGATTTTAAGAGCATCTTTGGAATTTAACTTTTCCACCTATTTGACACTTAAAAAAAGTCCCACGTCCTAATACTATGTTGCATTTTGCATTAGTGATGTTAGATGTGCCATCAAAACTTCAGTGCATGCAGCAAGATGTGGCAAGACTTTTGCAGTTACAGATTAAAAGACCCTTTGCCACTCTGACCAGGAGAGATGGCTGCAGGTTGAAAAATGAGCAGCCACTCTGATTTTACAGGTTCATAAATGCAGCGTGATAGATGAGCTACCTGACCAACAAAAAAATCCTAGGTTGGTAATAGCACACTGCATGGCTCCGTTAAGTAGGTCATTCAGTGTGCTAGGTCTTCGAATGTTATTTGCGAGTGTGAAAACATTACTTTCCTTCTTCAATGCACTTGTCTCTTTTCCTGTCATGTGGAGCTAACCTTCCATGCCTACTTCTATTACTAATTTATTAGCTTTTTAAGTGTCTAAATTGTTATACAGTCTTTGGACAAGATGTTCATGCCTGCTTAAGCAAAGAAAGCATTAGGAATAAAAATATATGTGTGTGTGCTTGCATGTGTATATAAAGTAGATAGAAGATAGCTTCTCTGGATCTGCAGACTTGCTACAGTGAAAGCAAGCAACCTGCTTCTTCAGCACAGAACAGCCAGGAGTATCGTTCTGTCATAATTAACTGTCAAACCCTGAAAGTGATGACAAAATAAAAGAGGCGCTAAATATATTTCTATTCAAATCAATTAAAAGAGGCCATGCTTTTCTTTTGATTAAAAGAGATCACTAGAGCAAAAACTGCTTCAGCACAGAGCAGCAGCCTCTGTGAGCTCAGTCTCCTTAGCTGATCTATTGCTTCTGCTCATTTGCTCTTTGTTCGACAGAGCAAGTTTTTCTAAGAGATGGACCTTTAAGCTATTAGTTTTGTGTCTACCGGAGGGCACCATGAGAACAGCATACCCCTTTTTGCAGACTGGGACCAACCCAAAGGCTATTCAAGTCATTTATCTCATAGGACTTTGGATCAAGCGCATGGACTCTGTTGTGATCTTGGGCCTGAGAAAGGATGCATAGAAAATCTCGAAACTAGGCTCACTCTAAGATCCTGGAGCTGCGCTTTTAAAAATTAGGCTTCATTTTACAAACTAGATGCGAGCCATCAGAGATTGGGTCACAGGCAGGGGTGGAAGCTCCGGTGGGGGGCTAAACAGATGTCTTCTTTCAAAACTTTTACTGCTTCCCTTTGGTTACACTCACAGCATGAAAGCCACCGTGGCACAAATTCTCCCTTCCAACACATGATCCAAGTACCGGGCTGTCCTGCACGACTCCATAAGTGAAAGGAGCTCCCCCACCCCTACCACCAAGTTGGACAGTGTTTGCAATGGACTGCTGCTGCCACAGTCCAGCATGGCAATCACTGCAGCAGTGATTCAGGTGAAAAAGGAGACAAGAGGTTCCACTGGAGACAGGTAGGAGACAAAAGGCAACAGAGGTATCACTGCCTTGCCTCCCTGCATCCCCTACTTCCTGGAGATGGACTTGCAGAGAGTTCAATTCTGACTGCACAGCAGGGACTGCTTTCACTGCCAGAAGTCCTTCTTCATCTTTGGAGGAACATAATTTTCCCCCTGTGAATAACAGCACTGCAGACTAGAGTCTTAGTCCATTGCTTTGTCAGCAGCACCTTTCATTTACACAGCCCTGGCCTTGCTCCAGAAGAAAAGGATTCTCAAGAAGCATGTTTAAGTGACAGGTCTATAGCGGCAAGAAGCAATAGGTATGTTTTGGCACAGCGTGAGTTGTATTATCTTGTCCCATGAAATCACCTTCAAACATTTTTTTCCCCAGTCCCAAATCCTCTCTCATTCTACCCAGGACTTGAGCATAATTCCCAGCTCTGTGCTTGCCATTCATGACACACTGCAGAGAGAGGGGTAAGAGAGCAGTCCCGAGCCTAGCCTGGTTCTTAGCTGCGCCTCCTTTGGCATCTCTAAACCAATGATGCAGGACACCAGGAAGGGTAATGAACAGGGGGCAAAATCACTTTAGACATACCCTGTTCAATGCTTTCCCTCTGAAGCAGGGCTGCACATCTCCTAAGTGGCAGGGACATCCTTCTCCTCCCTGCTGAATAGGCTCCTCCGCGACACCGGGCTGTGCTGTGCAGGCACCTTGGGCCGTGGGCTCCCTGGTGCGATGGGGGGGAGTGGTGGTTGAGTGGGGACCAAGAGACTGCAAATTAGCCACTCATAGGACACATGCAGCCCACAGGCCACCAGTAAGACAACCCTGCTCTCAGAGAAAGGATGGTGGGCTGGATGGACCACTGGTCTGACCCAGCATGGCACTGCTTATGTTCTCTCTGCATTCAACCATAGTCTGGGTGGCATCTGTAGCCCTAAGTGCATCTGCTCTCAGCTGTCCCCTTGCTGAATGTGTCATTGTGTCATCCCGTACACTTGGTATTCTGCTGAACACATTCATAACACTAAAAAAAATAATAAATCTCTTTTCTATGAACCTTCAAGCTGCAGTCACAGGAAAGCGAACCACAAGTCTCGCCTAGCAGGGCAATTTCTACCTTACTGTAAGTGCTGATCTCCTTTTGCTCCTATGGACTAAACTGTCTCTTGAATATCGAGGTAGCTTGGATGTAACTTCAGATGAGATGCCTTAGGTGCAGCAAGAGAAAAAAATCCATTTTGGCTGTAAAAGGATCTCAGTTAATGCTCAGTAATCTATAAATCATTGTTATGAGATTTCTGTATGCAAATCAAAGTTATATGACCCTCATCAATCTTAAGGAAACCTCCATAAAGATTAAATTCTGCAGCCGCAATGCGAATTAAAGGATTCTTTAACCTGTTTTCGAGATACGTTGGTATAGCTAATTAATTTTTAGATGGAGTGTTCTTTGAAAGGATTAATGGACAGTGAGCTTTGCTGATTGATTATGAAATGAGAAGGAGGGTTTTTAAAAAAGAGCTGGGAATGTAAAGGCACTATCAGGCTTTATTAACCTTGTCATATTAAAATTCTAATTTGTGAACTGCGAGATGCAAGTATTAAAATAATACTTTTGCAGGGTACAGCTTATTTATTTAACATGAATAACTTCCTCACAGTTAGTCCACATGACAGAGCCTCTGATAGGGATTTCAGTAGGCAAAGGACCAAAGGGCATCTTGCATAAATTGAGCACGTGGAGGCTACTGGACTATAAAACATAGCTACATCCAAGTTGTGACAGAAAAAATGAGAGAAGAAAAGAAAAAGAAAAAAAAGTGTAATCCACATGTCACCCTGAGAGGGCAGTTCTGCTTTGCTGCAAATTTATGGGTAGCTTTTATTGAGCCTTCATTAAGGCACAGCTGCAGCATTTACTGATAGCCTAGTTAATCTGCACTGACCTGAAAACATCAAGGCTAAATCTGGGATTGCTATTTGCCATGAAGACTCTGTGGTGTGTCTGCAACCACTCTACCCCAGGAATGGTGAAAAGTAGACCGAGTGCCTTACCCGTTTCCTCAAATTGCAGGTGAGAGTGAGATTCCTCGAAAAGGAGTTTGCAAAAGCCGTGTAAAAGTCCAAAACTTTAAGCAAGGCTTCCCGCTTAATAATATGTAAATCGCAGTAAGTCAGTGCCCGTACATTGGCACAGGCATGAGCCAGTGTAGTTTCCTTCCAGAAGATGTCACCAAACACATCGCCTTTACCTGAAAAAGCAGGACAGATTTGTTAAAGCATGCCACTTGCAAAGGAATGGTCAGCAAACCAATTATTTTCTCCCTTCATTTCTCTTAGTCCCCAATTATCCTGACCGTAGGTTTTCATTCAGCAAAACACTTGAATATTTTTTAAAAACACCTTTTAAACCTTGCCTGCTATATTTAAAAAAAACCCAGGTTTTTAAAAGTACTGAGATATTGCTCCACTCAGTATTGCGAAGCATAAGAGCCAGATGTTCAAAGGTGTTTAAACATTTGAAGATACATATTACTGGCCACTGGTTTTTCAAAAGCTTTTGCACAAGTCAGGCCCCACAATCTATTGCATTTAATGCATGTTAGGAACCAAAGCTTTTTAGAAGCTTTGGAAAAACCCATTAGACACCAACCTGCATCTTTCAGTGCCTAAATGCTTTTAAAAGTCTGTCTCTATATGATTTGGGAGGCTCATCTGCATTAAAAGTCAATGGGACTGAGGCTCCTAAGTACCTAATACCATGTCCACACAGTACACTTACTCTGCTTCAAAGCAGCGTCCTCGTGCTCACTGTGCTGCTCACAGTGGGCATCTTCCTAAACCAGAAGTAGTGTTGCCATGTCTGTGTGGTACCGCAAGTATACTCATTAGCAGGCAGTGGGCTAATTAGCACTGTCACTCCGGAGTGGTAATTGGCTCACTTGAAGTGTCACACAGACATTTCATATGGCATGGCACAGTGGTGCACTGTGTTTGAGGAGTCTATGCTGGAGCACAGTGAATGTCATGTAGACATGGCCTAAATCACTTTTGAATATAAGTCTTAGGTTCCTAAGCCATTTGGGCCTTGCCATGCTGAGCAAAGAAATGCCAAATTCCTATATTAAAAGCCCTGGGTCTTAGACATTTAGAGAGTCAAGGCCCACTGACTTGCAATGAGTCTTAGGCTCCCCAAGTGCCTCAGCGCCAAATTTTCAAATGGACTGAAGCACTGTTTTACCCTTAAGGTGCCCTTAAGATGAGGACAGGCACTCATTAGGATTTATAAACATGCTATCTGCCTAATTCCCGTTGTTTTCAAACACCATTAAGTGTTTATCTATCCTTCAGGCATCTAAAGACCTTTGAAAAACCTGACCCTATGCTCCTTTTGAAACAGGGATTTTGAGCACATTTGCATATTTGATCTGTGGGCTCCCAAACAGGAATGTTCACGCTGCCACCAATGCTATGACTGCAGCGTAGTGTATACACACCCAGCTTCTCTGGAAGCTAGCTTGCTTGGAGGCTCTTATCAGCGCAGCTCTGAGAAGTGCAAAACCCTGCTGGGGCGGTGTGACTATTCTAGCCTGCACTGACCTCCACACTGCAGTGGCTCCAATGTTATCAAGACTCAAGCTAGGAAGTTTCAAGCACACACAGTTATATGGGCAAGAACTGTAGCCCTACTTTGGTCCTATTGTATGCAGAGGCTTGGTAAAATTGAACTGAAGAGATTTTGAAAATGTTACCCAGTGACAAACTTAAGCACCTGCTGTAGTGCTTTCCTGGATCAGGGCTTCACTACAGCATCTAACCGTGAGAGCTGATCAAACTACTGAGACGGCATTTGCTCCTTTTAGGCTACCAAATCATTTACACCTAATGAACTAATCAAAGTAGATATCTATATAGACAGATAGAAAGATAGATATGGATATATATAGATACATTATGTGTGTGTGTGTATAGATAGATAGATAGATAGATGGATGCATGTAGGTGTATATAAATTAACACCTTTTATGAGCTGAAGCTCACGATCAGCTCATGAAAGCATGAGCTCGCTCAATCTATCTATCTACCTACCTACCTACTTTGATGAATCTATAAGGTAAAAAATCTACCTGCCTTCTATTCGACTTCAGATGGACATGGCTAAATACTCCGTCTACCAAATCATTCACAAGGTGACCCTGATTCCTGTGGCTGTACTTTCTGGACGTTAGTTTTTGGTATACTGTTTTAATAAATAATTTTCTGTTTGCAAGTGGGCTGTGGAATTGATCATCTAAATTACATTACCTTTTTTTCTATTCCATTACTGAATGAGTAGTTTTATTTTTTAACAGGGAACAAGTAAATGATAAACTGTACAACACATATTTAAATGAATGCTGCTTCTAAATATTCCTAAATTCCTAAAATTCAGGAAATTTTAGGATTTGGGAACATTTTTGAGAACCTCCAATGGTCATTAGAAACCTTGGAAATAATAAAGAGTATGCTTTATGAAATACAGTGAATAGAACGCTACGTTTCTCATTGAATATATTTATTTAACAAAATTCTGCTGTTTGAGCAAATCTACTAATATTTAGGTTGTATATTTCCATTTGATGTAAATGGAGTGATTTTTCAAGATGGAATTTTAATAATTATATGAATTACAATACTTTTCATAGACTCAATCAGGTTTGGGGCCACTTTGGGATGCACACAATATGATCAGATACACAATCTACTCCCTGTCATAGATGCTATCTAATACAGGTATTTCTTAGCACTTTTAGAACATGGAACCAATTTAATCTCATTTCCAGTAATATTTAATGCACTTAGGAGCTAGGCTTCCAAAACAGAGTCTGGTCACAAGCCACTGCTCAAATTATTCATTTTATTAAGTTGCAAAGTGATATGATAGATAAAGTTCTGCACAAAAGAAAGTCCATGCAATAGATAAAAGCTGGTGTTATAACAAGTGTCACAAGATATCTTGTTTACTGAAAACCAGAGAGGCGGTAGATTAGAAGGAGAGATGTGCAAAACTGGTCATCCCATTTCAAGAAAGGATATCGCAGAAGTAGAGGACATTCAGAGAAGGGTGAAAATAATGATTAAGAGCATCAAACACTAGTGATTTTCTACCAAAAGGGGATATGGTAGCAATACATAAAATGTCTAATGGTCTCTAGAGAATATAAACCAGGATCTTCTGTTCTCCCATAATAAAAAAATAAGACAATCAAGGAAATCAAAAGTGGGGGAATTCAGAAATGATAAAAGGAAATGTGCAATTAAACAGTGGAACTGATTGTGCAGGAAGTCAGAGGCTAAAAACTTATCACATTTAAAATAGGGGTTGCACACATATAGATATATCAGTGGTTTCCAGTCATAATTAATGACAATACACTTGGGAAACCTTGAGTTTCAGGGTTTCAGGGATTCTGTAATGACTAGACATCAGCATGAGACCGAAGGCATTGACAGACATAACATCTGAAGCACTTTAAGTGCCTCCGAAGTTCTGCAAAAAGTGAGGGTACAATGTACATGGCCAGTGAAGTGCTTCAAAAATGGCTGTTCTGGTCCAAAAACAAACCTAGAAAGCCCATGAAGTTATGAAGCACTTCATGCACTGTTTGCTAGGGCTGTGCAAAATTTCACCAGCTGTTTCGATTTGACACTGTTTCAACTCATTTAGAGCTCGAAACAGTGAAATCGAATCAAAACGAAGGGCTTCAAAACAGTCTTGAAACAAAACGAGGCTAGTCAAAATGTTTTGAAAGTTTTTAAACATTTTGAGTTTTGAAGCAGCCAGCAGCCAGGTGGTGGGAGACAGGGGAGAACCAGGCTACGCTGCCAGGGGCTCTGCAGCCCCATGTGGCTCACCCCGGAGCACAGCCCTGGCTCTCCCTGCCTCCCAGGGCTGGGCTGCAGGAAGCCGATCACAGCACAGGGGAAGGGAACTGAGCCCAGGCTCAGTTCCCCCCCATCCCCTCCCTCAGTGTTGCGATTGGGCTGGGGAAGGGAACTGAGCCCAATTGTTCAGTTCCCCTCCCCGGTCCTATGATCAGGCTGGGGATAGGAACTCAGCCCACCTGGACTGAGTTCCTTTCCCCAGCCCGACTGCAGCGCTGGGGAGGACAACTAAGTGATCAGGCTCAGTTCCCTTCCCCAGCTCCCCTGTCCCAGACTGCAGCACCCAGCTTCCCTCTCTCATCTGGCAGGTAGATCAGGGGCCCACAGCCCTGGGAGGACTGGCACAGCCCCCACAGCCCTTCCAGGGTTGCGGGGCCCGATCTGCCTGCCGGATGAGAGAGGCTTCCCCATTATAGCGAATGGGCGAAACGTTGAAACAGCATCACTGTTTTGATAAAGCGAAACGGAACAGTGGTTTCAAACTGAAATGAAATTCAAAATGAAATGCTGTTCCGTTGAAACCTCTAAACTCAAGCTGAAACAGAACGGTGCTGTTTCACACAGCCTTCCTGTTTGCACATCTTATGTAGGACACATCCTCCTGTGTCTTTGTCCACTGATGGAGTGGGTGCTATAGTTTTCTCCAAAGCATCTAGAACTAGCTACCATCAGGGGCAGTATGTTGGAGTACAAGAAATCTCAGGTTTAATCCAGATTGGCAGTTCCACTGTTTTATGTAATATCCATCTAGACAGTGGCAGAAAAAGGTAGCACTTTGATGCCAATTTAATGTTATTCAATGCAAAAAAGACCAACCTCAATTTGGAAGCCCTACAAACAACATAGGCCGTGTGTAGACAAAACAAGAGGCGTGTGTGCACAACACTTTAAAGCAGGTTAAATGCTTTTGCACCACTTTAATGGTATCAGTGTTTGCATGCCTCGGTGGCATATTGCGCATTAATTCCAGCTGCTGTAGGAAATTTGGTGGTGTAATGCACCTTAAATGACTTGGGACGTAGCAAACTAAAACTCCTTTGAGGCTCCTACAGCCGTGGAGCGAAGCACCGGGCTCCGTGCAGCTCCGCGGCTCTGCAGGAAGCCCTGCAGGCAGCCTGGCACCAGCCTGGGAAAGCAGGCTCCGCCCAAGAAAAGCGGCGAGCCTGATCTTTTTTTTCCTGCCCTGGAGCCTGCCTGCCTGCCTGAGCTGCGCGGGGGACTGGTGCTTTCCTCCACGGCTGTGGTGCTCCCCTGAGACCACCCAAGCTGGGTGCCTGCATGTGGGTTCTGCCTGGGGGAGGAGGGGGCTGCTGCCGCAGAGGGAAGC